TGAAGGCTCCACCCCAGGTACCAGCTGGGTTGCAAGCCCAGTAAAGGGAATCCCCTTGCTCTGTATGGAGCCTAAGTAGCCTTTACATTTATGACTGAGAGGGGTTCCAGAACACACATACATGCAGGCCAGACAAGGGCAGGAGGGAGAATTTTACATGTCTAAGACAGTTTTGGTTGCCTGCTTTCATCAAGAATCAAATGGAAATACCAGTATCACATGACAGCAGGGGAAAAAAATTAGGAATTAAGCAAACTTATACTCCTTGGGAAGTTCCTGAAACTTAGGAAAGCCTCTTCCCAGGTTATATAACAACCGCTGGAGGATGAGCCAAGCTGCCTACAAGTTATGCAAGGAACTGAAGGAAAATAGTTTTTGTGAGTCATCATTCCTTCTGGGGTCAGAAATTCAGTGATGGAGTTGCCTTTGAGTCATCCATGTTTCAGTAAGTAATCCCAATGAAATTTGGTTCACCAAAGGCTAGACTTAGATGTAATTGTTAATTTGGCCTGTTGTCAGTGCCCTATCTGGGCTGAGTAGGCATTTGTTCATATCCCCCCACCCTAAAAAAAAAGTAATACAACAAAGCCATCCATTACATTTTGGCAAAGAATCTATCTGCAGTCTGCCCCTATAATGAGAACTTAAGAAAGGCTGGATTTGAAAGCAATGGAATTGTTTGGTGGAGGGAATGTGAAGGCAGAACGGCATTCAGGTTGTGACATGATTTCTGGCTGCTGCTCTTATTTAGGTCTACAGTAAAAGTGAATGGCAAAGATGTGATCTGATCCACAAGTATGAGGCAAAGAGAAAGCTACTTGAGAATGCTGTGGGCTTTTGAAACCTCAAAGTCCGCCCCTAGTGACACATCTCAACCAATAAGGCCACACCTCCTAATCCTGGCTAAACAGTTCCACTAACTGGGGTCACATAGTCAACCATATAGGGCCAATTTCATTCAAACTACCACACAACCACTGAACTCTCTCTCCAACTCAAGATTCTTTTAGAAGGTTTTACATGTAAAAACCAGCAGCTGGGAGAAAACTGAACCCATCTCTGGGCCTGAGGCATCAACTCTGAAAGTGAGTAGCTTTTGATGGTTAAGTGATAAGAGCAAAAGCCCAAGGGGAGAAGTGAGTCACAGACAAAAAAAAAAAACAAAAAACTCAGCACAGCACAGCAAAGGCCCTATTCGAGAGGACTTTGGCTGCTGTCAAAAGCAAAGCGACTTCAACAGGGGAGAACCTAAAAACCACAGAGAGAAGGCAAGCAGCTTGCATGGAAGACAGCCAGCCACGTGAGGAAGCCACCTGAGGCTGGAGCATGCCAATATCCCACATGGGATTAGAAGCTGACTGTATACAAACCTGGAGAGCTGCTGGGAAAGGAAGCCAATGCGATGGCTCTGCAGGCAGCCCCTTCACCACCATTACTGCCAGCACCAAGTGCTTACTGAGATCCACAAGCACAGATGCCAAGGAAGGGAGGCAGAGAGGCTGCCAGAGAACCAGCCCTCACACAAAGCTTACTGGGAAGCTGAAGAGGATTAGCTGGCCCATAAACACTGACCTTATAGAGGTCACAGAAGAAAAGGAGGCAATGGGTCAGCATTCAGAACCCACACAGACATCAGCACATCACCGTGGAAACACCTTAGCAGGAAATGGATAAAGGGTACAGACAGGTAATTCACAGAGATGGGACAAGCATGAAGAAAAAATGCCCACCTCACTGGTATTCCAAATCAAGGGAGGGAAGCAGGCGGATGACTGACTACCCAATTGACTGATGATACATATATTCTCTATAGGAATAAATAACAAAACGCTGACAAGGATGCAGGAAACAGTACACTGGCAGCATCTTACAGAGCTGTATGGGCACCACTTCTCAAAAATCCCACATCTGGGGAAACTCCTAGAGAAACTCACACATAGGTCCACAGGGATATTTACCAAGTGTTCACTGTAGCAGCATATATGTAGAGAAACAAAAAAATATCCTAAATGCCCTCAGAGGCTGAGAAGGGTGATCCAAATGTTAGGACTTCTGCAATTTTTGCGACCCCAAAGAAACAAATCAGATTCATAGTCAAGTTTTAACACTATCATAAAAAAACTACATGTCACATTACAGCACACATTGTTCATGCACATAGACATGTCAACATAAAACATCAGGGCAAACTACAGTGTGGTGCACACAGGATGCCACAGTACACACACTCTCACCTCTCACCTCCACTGAACACAACTATAAATTCTGAACATAATGCGTGGAGCAGCTACTTGAGATTGAGGACAGGTAACCAGCTGAGGAAATGAGAACAGAGCATGCCAAACGACTCGCTTCCACAGACCTGGACTCATACTATACGGAAGGCTCTAGTTCAGTCTTAAAGAGAAGAGAGGGGGGGTCTACTGGCAGCCACAGTGATAGTAGGATCCCCAGGCTGCAGAAGGGGATGCTTCCCCATCTTGAAGATCTCAATAGCTATAGACAGAGTTAAGCAGCAGCCACAGTATTACTTTAGGCCACATCAAGCCTCAGCATTCTAGATGGGGACTAAAAAGGGGAGCTCGAGGGGAACAACAGAGCATCATAGGCATCATGGAGAGTCAACTGTTAAGGAAAGTGACATCACAGAACTATCTGTAAATTTCCAGCCTCACCTCAAGCTGGGTGTGTGGACCTCACCATACACAGCATTATTCCCTGGACCTCCCATGGATCCCTGGTACATAGGGCAGCTCCACTAGCATGGGAAACACCAGGTAAAAGCATTCTACACACGGGGCTGATACTGAAACAACACTGCGACTTGTAACTCAAATCCAACTGGACTGCTGCATTTTCCAAAGGCTTTAAACATGAGGCTTCTAACATAATATTCCCAATGCACAGGATTCATCCAAAATTATTCAGCATACAAAGAGAAAAAGAAAATCTCAACAACATGGGAAAAAGATAAGAAACACTAAGGCCAAGATGGCACGGATGTTGAAAGTATCTGCCACAGACTTTAAAGAGGCTACTGAACTAAATAAGATAAACCTGCAATACATAAGGCACACACTTGGAAGAATGGCCCCCAAATTTTCTTGCCACAGGGCTATATGTCAGCACAGGAATGCTTGCCTTGTGAAAAGCACAAGGTTCCATTCCCAGCACTGCCCCCCAAAAAAAGAAAAAAATATTATCTGGCCTAATCCCCAAGACTATATATACATCATACTCTGATAAAGTTAAATTATCTAGCAAAGGAGGTTCTACAGATGCAATCACCATTACTAATCAACAGGCTCTGAGCTGATTGAGAAAGTTTATCTAATATGCCTAATCTAAACACACGAGCCCACAGAAAGCAGAGATGACTCTCTGGCTAGGAGCAACAGAGAAAGTCTGATACACACTGTGATGGATAATCATTATCAACTCAACTGGATTTATAATCACCATGGAAAAGCAACTCTAGGATGTTTACAGAAAGGTCTGAGGGAAGACCCACCCTGAATAGAAATGGTACTATCCTATGGTCTGCGGTCTTGGACTGTATAAAAAGGATAAAGCAGGCCGGGCGGTGGTGGCGCACGCCTTTAATCCCAGCACTCGGGAGGCAGAGCCAGGCGGATCTCTGTGAGTTCGAGGCCAGCCTGGGCTACCAAATGAGTCCCAGGACAGGCGCAAAGCTACACAGAGAAACCCTGTCTCGAAAAACCAAAAAAAAAAAAAAGAAAAAAAAAAAAAAGGATAAAGCAGGCTGGTGAGATGGTTCATTGGGTATTTCCCACTAAGCCTGGCTGGCCTGTGTTCAATCCTTGGAGCCCACACAGAAGGAACCGATGCCCATTAGCTGTCCTCTAAGCTCCCCATGCATGAGATGTCATGCATACAAGTTCATGAGGAGCACACGTGTTTACAAACATAAATAAGTAAATAGTTAAAAGTACTTTTCAAAAGGAGAAATCGAGCTGAGTACCAGCATTCCCCCTGTTTCCTGACTCTGGATGCCATGTGACCAGCTGCCTCACATTCCTGCCACAATGCCTCCCCTGCCATGAGGACTGTACCTCAGACTGTGAATATCAACAAAGCCTTCCTCCTGTAAAGGCTTTTGTCACAGTGACCAGAAAGGTAATTAACACAGTGCCAAGTATAAAAACACTGCGGCATGACAGTTGGGACATGGGAGAAAGACGCAGCTATCCCTGGACAGGATTCAGCTGGCCACCTGAAAGAAGAGAAGAAGGAAGCAGATTCTTCCAGAGCCTCCTCAAAGTGCCCACCTGAGCACCACCTTGATTCTGACTTCAGGATTTGCCCAGCAGAGGACCTGGTCAAAAAGCCACTTCAGATCCTGACCTACAACACTGTGAGATACTAAATGCAAGTTTGCCATGATTTATTAGAATGATTTTAAAAAACAGCTACAAATTGTAATATCTGAGTGGGAAAATGCCATAGCAAACACCCACCGAAGTTCACTCTGAGGCCACTAGAAACACAATCCTGAAATATTTAGGGCCCATTGATTATTCTAAGGGGTAAGTGTTCCTTATCTTGATTCATTTTTTCCCCTGAAATATTATTTAACCCAACACTCGGGAGGCTGAAGCAGGAGGAACAAGAATTCAAGGCCAGCCTGGGCTACACATCAACCCTATCTCAAATAAAATTAAATAAAATATGACCTAAGATATAACACATCCCTTATATCCTCAGGCAATCTGTTTCCTGTTTTTTAGAACTACAGCTAGATCAACTGTGTTTACTTGAAGAGAGGTTCCATGTTGACTCCCCATGGAAGCCTTATCCTCTCTGAGGAGTGGATGGGGGGGGGGTCGTGTAGGAGGTGAGCAGGAGGAGGGGAGGAAGGGGGAACTGTGTTTGGTATGTAAAATGAAAAAAAAACTTTTAAATAAAAGAGAGAGAGAGGTTCCATCAGCATATTCTAGGCACTATGCAAGTTGAGAGACCGTGAGCTATTATCTACATACACTTTGAGTTTAGTGCACTGGCCAGGCTTTAAGTCCCCCAGCAGCTGCAACATGGTATCCAAGAGCACCCGACTGGAATTCACCAAGAACTCACGACCACATGCAATGGCAGCAACATCTGCAAAAGACAGAACAAAGCATCAAGACCAGGGGCAGCACAGAGCACGTAACAGTGGATGGAGAGAAGTGACTCCACAGGTTCTCCTCCAACCTCCACACATGCATACATACAATTAACATTATACAGACTGAGCAGTTACATTTATATATTTGGAACACACACACACACGCACACGCGCGCACGCACACACACACACAAAACGACTAAAGAAAAACAGACTGGGCTGAGAGATGGCTCAGTTGTTAAAGGCTAAACTCAAAACCAAAAATATAAGAAAAATAGACCATGAATTTGAGAAAGAGCAAGAGAAGACACATGGGAGGGGTAGGTGGGAGAAAAGGGAAGGGGGGAAATGATGTAATTATATTGGAATCTCAATAATTTATTTAAAACTGAAAAAAACTAATGTTAGAGCCAGGGCTGGAGCACAGTGGCGGAGGGCCTGCTTGGCATCTGCATACATGAGGCCAGCCAGTCCCAGGGTCAATCCACAGCAACATGAAAAAAATTAATATATAAAAATCTTAGAGGGTGGGCATGGTCACATATACTTATAATCCTAACATTTGAGAGGCTGAAGCAGGAGGATTCCAAGTTTGAGGCTAGTTTGGACTATTTAATAAAACCTTGTCTTAAAAAAGAAAAAAACAAAACTCATGTTGACAGGCAGTCACTACCAAATGCTGTCTAAATGCACAACCAGAACTAGGAGGCAGGGTATGCAATTATTATTTGTGAGTCTTCCAAAAGCAGGAATACAGGCAGTAAACTAAGTTTTCTACTTGTGAGTTAAGTGGGTCACTTTTCACAAGATCTCCATTCTTCCTCTGCTCCCTTACTCAGGCTGTCCTACACTGAACAATCCCTCACTTCACATGTGTTAAGACTTGCTACAGTCCAGCAGATGCCAGGATGTAAGGCCATCAGAGCAGGTAGGGTCCTCCCATAGATGAAGAAACCCTGTCTAAAGGAGTTAACCTGGGAAGTGGGCCATCTTATCTTAAAATCCAGACTTTTACTGCTGCACTAACCTGTCATTAGGAATTGTGGTGGTGTGAATAAGAATGGTTCCCATAAGCTTAATCACTAGGGAGTGACACAATTTGAAAAGATTAGAAGGATTAGAGGTGTGGCCTTGTTGGAGGAGGTGTATCACTAGGGATGGGCTTTAGGGTTTCAAAAGCCCATGCCAAGCCCAGTGTCCTCTCTGCCTGTGGATGTAGCTGTCAGTTACTTCTCCAGCACCATCCTGCCATGTCTGCTGCCATGCTCCCTACCATGATGATAATGGACTAAGCCTCTGCAACTGTAAGAAAGCCCCTAATTAAATGCTTTCTTTTATAAGAACTGCCATGATCATGGTGTCTCTTCACAACAATAGAACACAGACTAGTACAGGAACAATGACTGGACAAGTAAGAGATTTAATATCAGTTTTTGCTCATACTATGGTAAATTGGGAAGAGCTGCTCCATTCTTCCAGGGGTGGGGGGGGAGTTCTACAAAATCACAGCTTTTCATAAATACATCAGAAAGCTAAGGCTAGCTGTGAAGCGCCTAAGGAAAGAGGCTGGGACTTCCAGGCAGAGATTAGGGACAAACATGCTCAACCTGGAGCAGATGCTCAAAGCCACATAAGCCAACCACAACAAACCAGATCAAATGTTTAACATGCCACCAGGACAGCTGCTGTGTGAGGTTGACTATGGAAGGAGGACAGGACTCCACTCCCTAGCTGGGGTGGTATACTGCCACATGGGTTTACTGAAATTCTCAAAACTTCCAAAAGATGAAAAGGAACTGGGAGAGTGTTTGCTGTGTGTAAGACTGGAAGATCAGCTTAACAACAAGAGGAGTTGCAGACTGCTAGTCCATGGCCTCCATAGTGCTGCCATCCCCCAGATTGGTGGCTCCAGTAACTGAAAAGCACAAACCTCTGTGTCACAAACCCACTGCAACAATGCACCACCAGTCTGAAACCTTTTTCAGGCAAACCTCCACTTTCACATGTTCACTACTGTGATTTAGGCAAGCAAGCTTGAACGTTGAGCAACACGATGCTCCACCCTCTAGCTACCTGCCTCATGGCACACCAGCCAGAAATTCATGCAGCTTAAATTCTCAACCTAGCAAAATGACAAAACACATGGATTGTAGACCTCTGAGGTCACTTTTAGAGAGAACTAATCAAATGTACAAATGCCTTCTTTCTAAATACAGCCTTTAAGGCCTGACACTCAGAAGGCTAAGACAGGAGGACTGAGTACAGCTGCTATGATGAATGGGCAGAGAGCTGCCCTACTTCAGATAAAGTGCCCACCAAGCCAGAGGAATGGACTCTCAGCATCCACCCAACAATAAATACCACTGGAGGCTGTGGAGAGATGGCACAGAAATTAAGAGCACTGGCTGCTCTTCTTGAAGACTTGAGTTCAACTCCAAGCATGCAAATGATGGCTCACAACTCCAGTTCTAGGGAATCCAACAGCCCCTTCTGGCTTCCACAGGTGCCAGGCACACATGGTGGCACACAGGCATATATGCAGGCAAAACACTTACGTTGCAGTATAAAATAAAAATAAATCTTAGAAAATGAATAAGTACCACCAACTTTTAAAGGGGTTTTTTTACTGTCAGCCAGGTATGGGAGTGTACATCTATAATCCCTGTGCTCAAGAGGCTGAAGCAGCAGATCACCTCAAGTTTGAGCCCAGCTTGTCTCAGATTTAAAGGAGGGGAGGGGTGGGGGGAGAAAAAGAAGTCTCCATAGGCCTTACCTCATACGGTGGCCGTAAAAAGGTAACACGGGGTTGGAGAGATGGCCCAGTAGACACAGCACTTGCCACACAAACGTGAGGACTGGAGTGCAGATCCTCAGCATCCCTATACATTCTGGGCAGGCATGGCAGCTTCCTGTAATCTCAGCACTCGGGAGGCAGAGACAGATTGCTGGTGCAAGCCGGCTAGCTAGACCAGAATCAGAAAACTCCAGGTTCAACAAAATCCCTGCCATGATAAACAATTGGGGAGTGACCAAAGAAGACACCCACCATCAGCTCAGGCCTCTGCACACATGGCACACTCATGCCCTTGCACATGTACCTACACGAACACGTGAACATGCATACACACATAACAATAATAATGCGATGAAAAAAGACAATTTTGTCTCATATTAACAGTAGACAATAATCCTAAGAGTACATATGCTACAACAGAGAAGAAAGGTAAGCACTTTGTCAATCTCAGGAAAAAAGAGCTTCCCCACCCACTGGTGCTCCCCACCGACTATACTAGGAGTCACTGGTCTCTTATAAAAATTTTGAAGGTTTGGAGTGTTACTTTTTTTTATTTTTGAGACAGAATCTTGCTATGTAACCCAGGTTGGCCTCAACTCTTAATCCTCCTGCTTCAGGGCCTCCTAAATCTTAAAATTGAAGGCTTGTGCCACATGCCCAGCTCCTTTATAGTTTTGCTAAGAAATTCTTTTGTAACACTTCTTTGGTGATAGGTTCTATTTATTAGCTTCCAGTAAAAATTTACTAAAAACACAAAGTTTTTAGAATCCTTTAAGTGGAGTTTAGGTTAAGCTTAGCTCACAGCTTTCGCTTTAGGTAGACATGAGTAAAACAGAAATTATTCCAAATGAGAAGTAGTTAAATGGACAATCTGAGGCTTTTATTCTCTTACATCTGTCAGCCAAGTGTGGTGGTGCATGCCTTTGATCCCAGCACTCAGGAGGCAGAGGCAGGTGGATCTCTGAGTTTGAGGCCAACCTGGTCTACAGAGTGAGTTCCAGGACAGCCAGGGCTACACAGAGAAATCTTGTCTTGAAAAATCAAAAATAAATAAATAAAAATAAAAATAAATAGCAATCAAACAAACCTGTGTTTCCTTTAGATCAGTTATTTCTAATAAGTGACAGTGACCACAAGTCCCTGGGTGCTTTCCCATACTGGAGACATCTGACACCTCTCCCAGATTACTGAGATAGACTCCAGGGTGAACACAGTCCTCCAGACACTGACACACATCCTCACACAAATCCCTAACTGTAATTACCAACCCTGATATATGGCACTATGTCTGAAAAGTTACCTACTTGTTACAATTCCAGCCAGTGCAAATACAAACTGATTTTCATCAGAATCAACCTCCCTAACGTCCCCATCCAATGACTTCACAAAACTCTCCATCGTCTGACCAGTGATGGTGAAAAACTTCAATGCTTTGTCCTGAAAGTTTAAAAAAAATAAAAGAATACAAGTATCACATCTTTCCAGAGAAGCCAGTGTAACAACATCACACATGTGCACACCATGCAGAAGGACAGGCTACAATTCCAGGAGCAATCATAGAAAACCTGTGCCACCACTCAAAGTTCCCAGGGAGGGAGGCAGTCAATGCTGAGACTCATTCCTGGCCACGGTGGAAAGAATAAGTGACCTTTGGCTGCTCAGCCCTAAATGGGACATCTGTATCAACCACCACCACCACCAAGGCCAGGGAACTTCACACTAGACTGGGTGGAAAGAATGTCAGAGTTGAAGGGTAAAAAGAATGGCTGTGAAATGCTGTCTTCTGGACACTCATGAACTCACAGCAGCTGTGGCTACCTGCACAAGACCTGCACAAATACGCCAGTCCACATTTTAGCATGGATGAAAGATGGATTTATGGGGTACCATGACTCACTAAGGAGCTACTAACTGCTGATGGCTGCTGGGGTGTCACTGTTCTTCAGGACTGTGGGCACTGGTAGGTCCATACTCCAGTGGATGGCTACATCCATGCATATACACAGCACTAATTAGACTTAGTGAACTATACATTTAAAAAGGAAACAAAGTAAGAAATAGAAGGGGGATTTGAGTTATCTACAACTGAGCTATTCTGTGCTTGTGTGTGTTTGTGTGTATAAAATTGTCAAGAACCATTTAAAACCAAGGCATGAAAACAAAAAACAAAACCTGAGAAAATGGCATAAGAAACTTCCTGAGTGATAGAATGTTCTAAGACTGGACTACAGGGATGGTCTTCCAACTCTAGAAATTTTCTAAGAAACCAGTAAGAACTGTGTAAGTCTAGTGGGTAAATTACAACATAGAAATCATCCTTATTTTTAAGACAAAATCTCATGCAGTCCAGGAAATTACACTTTAATAAAGTTCAACAAACTTTTAAGGACATTTAAGTTCTCCCTCAAGCCAAACACTGCGTCCTCTAAGCAGTAACTAATGTAGCTCTGGCTTCTTGCCAAGCATCCCGCTCTCCACTTCTATTCCTTTCCCCAGAGTCGAACCCAGACGCAGCCGGAGCTCCTTCTCTCAGCTGTCAACTGTACCCTGACACTACATCTGTCTCAGTCACACAGCTCTCACATGCCTTCTTCTTCCCCATCTGCCTGCAGAGAGCTGCACACCTCACTCAAATGCACTTGAAGACTCTAAGAGGTTAAGGGAATGGACCAGCATCTGCTTACCTCCAATCACAAATGACACTCCAGTAACAATATGATGCAGTACAAGAACTCTCCACTTGGTCAAGTGACCTCCCCTCCTAAAACAAGCTAGACTTCTCACCCTATACCTGTGATTTGACTGATTCTGTCTTCTTGAACTGTCCTTACCATTACCATTTTCTGCCATTTCTACCTACTCATCAAGACCCATTTCAAATTCCTCTCCTTATGGGAAGTTCCCTAACATACGTGTGTGTGTGTGTGTGTGTGTGTGTGTGTGTGTGTCTGATACACACATACACACACACACACACACACACACACACACACACATATGTCAATTTTGTTAATTATATATTACCCATGACGTAAAACACATAGGAGCACTGAACGCTGTTAAATTTCTTACATAGAAACCTTAAAGTGGTTAAAGATCAAAGGCTCCCCTTGAGTGTCAGGACAGAGGATGGTACTTCATTCTACACATCCCCAGAGCACCAGGTGATACAATGAACACAGCAGACACCTGGCAACCATCTGATGAACTAAAGCAAATTTACATCATGGCAGGGCTCAGCTGTCAATGTCACGGGCAGACATGCTGTCTCTTCCAGGTCACAAGGCACATCAACAGTGCCAGACAACTTACTCCTCCCAGAATGGCTTTGACGACTTCCTCACTGCTAGAGACTCCCCAGAGAAGGGTACAGGTAACTGCTCCCATTTGTGTACAGTACTCTGCCTGCTGGAGGAGCTGCTGTTTCGCCTCATTCAGTTGCTGTCGAAGGGCCAACTTCTCCTAAATTCACAACAAAATAGAACAAGAAAACAGTTCACTAGCATTCAGTCTCAAAAATCTCTATCATACATTCTCTTTCACAAAGATACTTATTAGAGAGAAAGCATTAGGAATTCTAGAAAACAGCTGCAAGTAGAATCCAGCCCTTCCTGAGCCACAGTCCACATCTAAACAGTAAAGTTCCAAGCTTAGAGATGAACACACGGCTGCTTTACAGCTTACGGATAACTGCAAAGAGCTAAATTCACCCATTCAAGTAAAGAGAAAACTAGAGGTGGCTTGCGTGCCGAGTGACCACATCCAGAGCAGCACCACCAGACTTGAAAGCAAAGTAGCAACCTACCATGCAGCCTATACTGCACATCATTTCTAGTCAGGGAGTCTGTCGTGCCAAATAGTCATTCCACTAGCAGACACTACATTAAGTTTAGAAAAAGAACTGTAGAGCGGCTCCTTCTAGGCCAGTGTTTCTCCACCTGTGGGTCACGACCCCTTAATACCATCAGAAAACAGATATTTACATTATGATTCATAACAGGAGCAAAATTAGTTATGAAGTAGCAATGAAAATAATTTTATGATTGCAGTTACTATAACATAAGGAACTGTATTAAAGAGCTGTAGCATGAGGACGGTTGAGAAATACTGATCTAGGCAAACTATGAAGAAGTCCTCATGAGATTGTCATCAAAGATTCTGGAAAAAAAGAAAAGCATGTGCAGCTGTGAAATGACACCAGAATCAAACACCAGACCTAACACCAGGCAGGAAAACTGTGAAGGTGGGTACCCCAGATATGCTCAGGCCCAAATGCATGGATAACAAGGCCAATGAGGCCAGAAAAGGTTTTCTGTCCTCCCTCCAGTAGCTCCTAAGAACACCTAAAGCTAGGCCAGACTCTGACAGGACCATTAAGGGAAGAAGAGAACCATTCTCCCAATGATCCTCACATCAGTACATCTCAAGGAGCTCTCTTTGGGTGGTCCTCCCCAGTGACCATGCTTCTTTGGTGTTAAAATTCCCTTTAAGGAGACAGCATTTCCTGAGAGATAAACTGGGATAGGGGTATCCCTCAGTCATAGAGCACTTGCCTACCATACATGAGGCCCTGGGTTCCACCCCCAGCACCACCAAGACGGGAGCAAGAAACTGAAACACACACACACACACACACACACACACACACACACTCACTCACTCACAGAGCTCAGGGACCACTATGGAAAAGGGAACAAAAATTTTTTTTGTTTGTTTTTGTTTTTTGAGACAGGGTTTCTCTGTATAGCTTTGCGCCTTTCCTGGAACTTTGTAGACCAGGCTGGCCTCAAACTCACAGAGATCCGCCCGGCTCCAGAAAAATTTTAAGAACCTGAGGAGTAGAGTTTGTAGAAAAACAGTACCTGCTGGACATGAGAGTCCAGCTGCACACATGAACTCATGGTAGCTGGGGCTATATGCACAAGGCTTGCACAAGGTCAAGTCAGCTAAGATTCCAGCATAGATGGGGAGGAACTCATAAAATCCCACCCCTGTCTGAAGAGCTTTTAGCAACTGATGGCTGCTGGAGGAAATAGAATCACTTTGCTCCAGGGATACCACCCCTGAGAGACCATGCACATACAGACAACACTAAATGGACTCCATGGGTATAAAGAGAGGCGGGGGACAGTGTGAGAGCAAAGAGCATGTCGGGCTCAAGAGTGCACATGAAGCTAGGAGTGAAAGTGAGCAGACATGATAAAAGAACTGGAGGGGGAGGAATAGGTGGTGGATTTGATCCAAACACATTATATGCATGGATGAATACTACATAAAAAGTTGTTTAAAGCCGGGCGGTGGTGGCGCACGCCTTTAATCCCAGCACTCGGGAGCAGAGGCCGGCGGATCTCTGTGAGTTCGAGGCCAGCCTGGGCTACCAAGTGAGTTCCAGGAAAGGCACAAAGCTACACAGAGAAACCCTGTCTCGGAAAAAAAAAAAAAAAAGTTGTTTAAACCTTTAAAACAATTATCAAATATAGAACCCTTCTAAAATCTTTCTATAGCTCAGTTCAGATTTTAGCTGGATTAAACTAACAGCTAATTTTTCTTTAAGAGGTTTCTTAAAGGGATGGAGAAGTGGCTCATCAGTTAGGCGCATACACTGCTCTTGCAGAGGACTCAGGTTCCATTCCACATCAGGTAGCTAGTAACCACCTGTAACTCAAGCTCCAGGAAATCTGATACCCTCTTCTGGCCTCCAAGGACACCTGCACATACCTACACATAAACTCACACAAAACACATACACATAAATTTAAAAATAAACAAACTTTTAAAAGCTTCTTGAAGCACTGTATTAATGTTTGCAACTTCCTTTTTAGCATCCTAAAAGCAGCAACTCTTTCCTAACAAATTAAAAATATAAAAAATAAAATATTAACAGAAAACTGGCAGTCTCTATCCTAGCTGGTTTGCTAATGAGGAAAGGTACATGCCATTGGATAAAAGTGCATGGAGCCAAACATGCTGGTGAATGCCTTTCATTCCAGCACTTGGGAGGCTGAGATAGGAAAAATAAAAGTTCAGCGTCAGCCTAAGCTACATAGAGCTGAAGGCAGTTCAGGATCCATATCAAGAGGAGGAGCAGCAGCTACAGCTGCCTTTCAGTAAATGCCTGTCTTGAATGATAGAATGATCGGGGTTTCAAACACTTCAAGTATTATCATTGCCCTAGTACTCTGGCCTCAGTGGAAATGAGGGAATATTTTAGCTTTGACTATTTTTCTATTTCCAGTTGAACAGTCCACTAGTTGAACAGGGATAAGCAAGCTGGCTATAATAAGGCCACTTGTCTCTGGCAGCTGTCTTTTCTGTAGCACTGTCTGTGGTCCGTGCCCAGGCCTGTACAGATCATGAGGCAGGACTAGAAGCTTATTTTAGAGCTGAGGAACCAGGAAAGAATCCAACAACTAGACGACTGAATTAGATTACTGCCAGTAAGTACTTCAGTATGGGTAGAAATCATTACAAAAAGACAGAAATGACTGAATCCAGCATGTAAGAAAAGCATGGAATCAAAACCATGAGTGTGCTCGGCAAGCAGCAATTTGTGGGGCTTGAGGGGTCCTGTACAGGGGCTTTGATAAAGCTATAATGGAGCAGTTTCCTCTTCTTCAGTGCAGCAACTTAGCTGGATCATTGGAAGAGAAAAGTTGGGGCTGGGTGGCTCTTGGGGTGCAGAGGCTGCCTAGGGGAAGAATCTTGGCAATGGCAAAATGCCTCAGCACTGTGGTACAGGCACAGCTATTGGGAATACAGAACACCTGCGAAGGACTTAGCTGCTGTATTTGTTTGGGGGTTTGTTTATTTCTGAAACAGGTCTTATGTAGCCCAAGCAGATCTGGAACTCACTATGTAACAAAGGATGATCTTGAACTTCTGACCTTCCTGCCTCCAACTTCCAAGTATGTGGTATATACCACCATGCCCAGTCTATGCAGTACTAGAGATCAAACCCAAGGCCTCATTCATGCTAGACATTCTACTAACAAGGTATAGTCCCCAACCCACTTGAGTTTGATATGCTTGTTCACAATGTGACCCTTCTCAGTACTGACCTGGTATACTGTTAGCCTTTCATCACTGACCAATGCCTGACAGAACAAAATAAAAGGATAAAAGATGTCTTGTCCATTAGGGTTTCAGGGTTTCAGTCCATAGTCAATCCATTCCATGGCTATAGTCCTGCAGGCAGGACAGCAGAGCACAGCAAAGTTGCTCACCTCATGGACACCAGCAAGCAGAAAGAGAGCAGTTCTGTGCTTTCTCCTTCTTGCCTTTTTATTCCATCTGGGTTCTCAGACTATTGTATGACACCATAGCATTCAGAGTAGCTGCTCCCCACTTAATCATTTCTAGAAACATCTTCACGAGCACAGCAGAAATGTACCTTACAAATGTCCTCAGTATTTCTCAGTCCAAGTTGACAAGATTAACTGTCACAAGTCCATCCTCTGTCAACTTGACATCCAAACACACCTCCTTAAACCACATCTCCTAAAACCATACCTAATTTCCCTGTAGTGACAAGGCCATACATAATTCATAAAACATGACAGAACCATCCTATGTATACCCCTAAATACTTTAGTTCATTTCCCCCAGAGTCTCAGTAGCTCCAGAATTGCTCAACAGACAAGTACAAAGTTTCCTGAGACTCAGGGCAAGCTCTCACCTGTGAGCCCTTGTAAGGCCAAAAAGAAAGTTTGACATTTCCCAAGTACAAGGCAGAGTAAAGACTTCTATTCCAAAAGGGGCACATGGAAAGTGGGAGGATACCAAAGCAAGATGGGAATCAGCATAGCAATTATAAGCTCCTGTAGATATGGAGTGTCATGATCTGGATGCCAAAAGGCTGGGTCAGTCCAGCCCCTACAGTATACCACTGCAGCCACAGGGCTCTTCTAGACTGACCCTGCTTACTGTCTAGAGCTTTCCTTGGCAGACAGTCTAAATTCCTAGCATCTTCAGCTTATTGAGGTCTCTATTCCATCACAGCTTCATCTATTGCTCTTCCAAGGGCTACATCCAAGTACTCCTACCACTGTTCTACATCATCTGGCCTCCCCAACATTCCTTTGACATCTGAGTAGAAGCCTCTATGACCTGCCTTGCAAAAACATCAAATTGAGGACAGTAAGGTCTGCCACTAGCTTAAGCTATAGCCAGTTCCCAGTATAGACGAATTCACTTAATATTCTCTAGTCTGGTTCCCATTTCAACACTCCTAAGCAGTCTTTACTCTGTGTGTGTGTGTGTGTGTGTGTGTGTGTGTGTGTGTGTGTGTGTGTGTGTCTATAGTCATTCTGGTCTTCTGAATTCCTCCTCCAGAATCACCCATAAGTTCTACTTACAGAATGTTAAGCTGTGCTGGCCCATAAGTATCTGGGTAATTGAGCAAGGTTGGAGGAATCCAGGTAGGGCACGACTATATGACAGCTTGGTAGGTTAGTTCTTGCCTAACATGCACAAGGATCAAGCTTTGATCTCTAATCTCTAGCACAAAACAAACAAACAAACTTGGGGGATAATTCCCCAGGTCATTTTGCAAAAGGGTACCTCTGCAGGTCGATCTTTCATTCATCTTTTCAGTGAACTTAAACGTTTACACTCTTTTTTTTTTGAGACAGGGTCTCTCTACATAGCTCAACTGTCCTGGAACTATGTAGAACAGACTGGCCTCACACTCACAGAGACGGGCCTTCTACTCCTGACTGTGGGATGAGTAGACTCTCCTTGATCACTGGCTGACCTCAAAGCACCTTATCTATTGATCTGGTACATACAACGGTGCTAGTCTCTAGTGATTATTCATTTATTAGTCCCAACTTAAATGTGACTTTTTTTAGCTAGGTTTTTTTTTTTTCCCTCTATATGCTCATTGTAAATCTGGCTAAAAGGGTTTGTTACATAGCAAAACTCCTGTGGTAGCTCAAATGCTGGACTACCTTAGCATTTCCTTTTCCAAGGGATTGGAAAGATTGTAAGAACCACAGGGCCACAAAGTCCACTGAGAAACTGTGTCTTCTAAATATGACAGGGAAACTATACCATTGAAATAGCTACAATATGGCTTCCTAAACACGACCTGAACAATTCCAATACTAGTTGACATACTAATATGAATGAGGAAAGCTCACAAGGCCCACCCATCCTTAGATGAAGAACTACAAGAAATTTACAACTGCTGACAGAGGGAAAATTAGTCTTCCCCAGGGAAACGGCCCCTAATTGACTATCCAATACCAAGTGGTCAGCCCTAGAATCATATAATACAAGCAACACTAAACAGACTCAGCACGTTGCTTTTATATTTATTCATTTGTGTGTGTGTGTGTGTGTGTGTGTGTGTGTGTGTGTGTGTGTTCATGTGTATGTGTAACAATGATAATTAAAGAAAAACAGGTCATGAATTTGAGAGGGAGCCGGCGTTGGGGGACACGAGAAGAGTAAAAACGAGGAGGAAGAGAAATTATGCAATATTTTAATTAAAAATAAAATTCTTCTTTCATATTACTCGGCCAGGCACCTTTGAACTCAACTCTCACAAAGTCTTAGAGCACTGACACAAGATAGACAAGTTCTTTGCCATATTGGAATATGAATGGAACAGCCCTCTAGTCTAATTCCCAATAGAACCCTTGATAACATCTGAAACCTCACAAGCACAGTCTCTACTCCGCATTTCTTCTGAGCTCCCACCACAATCTTCAGTAAGCTCTACTTAGAGTATTTTAAAATTTTTTCTAGCTTCTATGTCCAGTTTTCCAAATTCCTCCTACAAACTAGTTTCAAAGGCTTACAAACCACATGACCAGGTTTAATCACAGCAATGACCCTGCTCCCAGCACCAATACTCTGTGTAAACACAGTGTTTCAATTCTAAGATGAATGCCTGCGAGAAAAAAAATCAAAAGGAGGAAAAATTCACTTTGATTCACAATTTCACAGACTTCAGTCCATGGTCACTTGGTTCACTGTGGCTGTCCTGGAACTCACTATGTGGACCAGGGTGGCCTCAAACTCACAGATATCTGCCTGCTCCTGCCTTCCAAGTGCTGGGATTAAAGTGTTTTAAATGTCTATCAATTCCTTCTTGCCTAGTGGTCAACTTCTAGGCCATAATATATTTAGTCTGAAACTAACCAGACTGCCTTGCAATTTATCACCTGGTCTTAATAGATTATGGCAAAACTAAAACTTCAAGTTTGTGTTGTTCAGTCTAATCCAGGCTTACAATTAAACTCTTCCTAGCACATTCTGGTTGCTCAGTATTAAAATAAAAGCCAATTCTCCTAGTTTTAAAAAAACTACAGCCACACACATTCAGAATTTCTTAACACACATGAGCACACAGGCAGTATGACCCTATTGGACCAGCTATTCAACCTCTTTTACAATAGTAATACCTGCTGATATGCCTGAGACAGGAGAAGCATGTGGGACATAAATGGCTGTGTGCCTGCTAGCAGACAGCAAATATCCAAAACGTACTAGCTGTCATGTTCAGCACTATTATTGATTTATTGTTTTAAAATAAAAAGATACGCAAGCCCAAAATTTTACAAGTGGCAGCATATAACTAGTTTTATAGGAGATGAAATAATGTATGCCATCCAATTGTAAAACTATCTCAAAAAAATAACATAGGGACTACTAGAGAGGTGGCTTGGCAGTTAAAAGCACTGGCTGCTCTCGTAGAGGACCTGGTTTCAGTTTCAGCACCCACAAGACAGCTTATGGTGGTCTGTAACTCCAGTTCCAGGGGATCTGGCACCTCTTTTAGCCTCCAGGGAAACCAGTCCCACACAGACATACATGGAGGCAAAGCACTTGTACACACAAAATAAAATAATTTGTAAGGAAAAATATAGTCTCTTCCAATAATAAAATAAAATACAATTTCTTTTTCTTAAGTACCAATAAATCATACCCAAATTAATTAGAAATACATCTAAATTAATATATCTATCTCCAATTGTAAGTTACCATATACACAATACTTTCTCCCAGATTCTTACTATGTTATAAGCATATACATTAAAGCAGACTGTTTTATTTTGTTTGAGACAGAGTCTCCCTACATAGCTCTAGTTGCCCCGGAACTCACTAAGTAGGCCAGACTGGCCTCTAAACTCAGAGATCCACCTGCCTCTGCCTCCCAATTCTGAGATTAAAGGCTTGAGCCATCATGTCCAGCTGAAGCAGACTTTTAAATACAAAAATTAACAGGAAGCCAGAGAGATGCTCAGCGGGTAAAGGCACTTGTTGCCAAGCCAGAACCCACATGGGAGGAAGAAAACCAACTCCCACCAGTTGTCCTCTGACCTCCATACAGAATGAAGCATACACAAGCCTGAATCCATACACATAAACACACACACACAGACGCTCTCTCATGCATACACACGCTCTAAATGTACAAAAAAAATTTAATTAGAAGGAAGTGAATAATCTACATGTTAAATGGTTGTAAACTCTATTAGCAATTCATCTACCTTCTAACTTACTTAAAATACATATATTTGAAACTACAATCTCCTGAGGGTTAACAGGGAAAATGTGAGACTAGTCGCACCTTACGAGAAAAAGGCAGCAAACCAACAGTCACGAGCAGGAGCCTCGCCTAAGCGCCTACCTTCTTCTCCCTCCCGCTGTCTGCCTGTGCAGTTTCTAGCCGGGCTTTGAAGTGTTCACAGTCCAATTTCAGCTGCTCTAATTCTTGTTCTTTGCTTTCCAGGTCTAGAAGAGACAAAAAAAAAATACTCAAGACATGTCAAATCACATTCAACACTCTTACAGTCCTGTTTCTAAGCCCTTGCGGGGAGACGGGGAGGGAGAGGCTGGGGAATAAACCCTGGCCCATGCACACTATGGTACTAAACTGCCTCCAGTCCTGAAAGAAATTCTGCTGTTATCTTACTTTGTGATTTTTAAGACCTCATTTACTGCCAGACATGTACTCAGGGCTTCAAGAAAATGAGTTATTTAAAGGACCGAAGGCAGAGCTGAGAAGCCCGACTATCTCATGGCACAAACCTGTATCTGTGCCATAAAAAGCAGAAGGCATCTCATGAGTGGCTGGTGCCAGCAGGAGCTGACTCACAGAGCAAGTCCCACCAACTGGCAGCCTGACTCAATGGGAACAACTGCAGTAGTAGTCAATGGAGGCGGGAAGCAACAGAGAACAAGACCAGAAAATGCTACAGTGAGGGGGCAGTGACGACGTAACACTTCCTCTTCACCATAATCATTCAGCTTATGAGTCAAATGGCCAACAAAAAAACCAAAAGACACCCACAGCAATAAATCAATGAAAAACATTATCAACTTTAAATACTGTAGAAATACTGGTGCTCAAGAAAATTGGACACTTAATTCAAATTTTTAAGAGTTTGGTTTCAAGGCACAATGTGTGGTTCCATGGGTGTGGGTGGGCCTCAGAACTTACATTTCTTCTCTGTAATTTTTTATTAATAATTTCATGAATGCATCTAATATATTTTGCTCATTTCCACCCTAATTATCCACTCTCATGCCCATCCCACTCCTGATGGCTGCCTTATTGCCAAGAAGTCTCAGCCTGCTCTCATGTCTTTGTTGCTGCTGGTTTGTTGGGGTATTTGTGTGTGTGTTTGTGACCTTCTGAGTTTAATTAGTGTTGCATAAACATGGATCATGGGCAACTTATCAGGGACTACACCACTGAAGAAAATTATTCCCCTTCCCCCTGCAACCAGTAACTGCCAATAGTTCCTCAGGAAGGGGTAAAGAGAATTTACATTTTTTTTTTTTTTTAAGATTTATATGTAGGGGGCTGGAGAAATGACTCAGAGGTTAAGAGCACTGGCTGGTCTTCCAGAGGCTCAGAGTTTAACTCCCAGCAACCACACGGTGGCTCACAACCATCTGTAATGAGATCCGGTGCCCTCTTCTGGTCTGCAGGGATACATGCAGGCAGAACACTATTAAATAAATAAATAAATAAATAAATAAATAGCTCTTTTAAAAAAAGATTTATATGTAGGGACTGGAAAGATGACTCAGTGGTTAAGAACACTAGCTGCTCTTGCAGAGTTTTGTTCCCAGCATCCACATGGCAGCTTACAACTGCCTGGAACTCTGACTCCCATTTCTGGCCTCCTCAGCACCAAGCATGAATGTGGTACACATATATACATGCAGGTACTCACACATCCACATAAAAGGTAAATAAATCTTTTTTTAACTGTATAAGTGTTTTGCCTGCACATATATATCTATATACGTATGTTTGTATGTATGTATGTATGCATGTGCACCATGTGCATCTGGTGCCAATGGAGGTCAGAAGAGGGTGTCAGATCCCCTGGAACTGGAGTTACAGACAGTTGTGGGCTACCAGTCCTCCAGCCCTCTGCAAGAGCAGCAAGTACTTTCAACCACTGAATCATCTCTCCAGCCTAAAGAAGTTACATGTCTAACAGGGTTCCTGGGTGAGACTTTATGGAAACCATACTTTAAAACCAACTACTTCAACAGCCCCAGCTCTCTTCACCAGCAACAGGAAAGGAACACACAGTAGACAAGAGAGCTTAGCTACAGCAATGTGAGAGTATGAATGGAGGGTAGTGGGACTGGGTAAGGGAGAGCGCCTCTAAGAACATATGGAAGACCATACACCCTCCACGCTCAAGGAGAAAAGGTTTACAGGCTGCTGCTCAATAAAGTGCAGGGCTTTGGGCTCCAGAGATCTGAGAAGGCAAAGGGACACTTACACACAAAAACCCAGGGACTGCCTAGAGCTGCTTGGCATCCCAAGCATTCTGGAGAAAGAAACAAGGAGAGTGTCTACATTTCCTTGAGACCCTGTCCAAGATGGAAGAGTAGAACCCAAAGGTCAACAGACAAGTTGGAGATTGTGAAACTGGCTGGCAAGCTCCTACTCACATTTCCTAGAAGCATGCAAGCTACACTGGGCTATTTATTCTCCCCTATGTCAGAGCTTTCTTCTCTGACTTTTCAGGTATGTCGTACTATATGAACTCTATTTTGTCCTAATAATCATGACCACACAAGAAATCAATGAGCAGTGGAACTTTATGCCTTAAAAATAATATTGCTTGCCGGGCGGTGGTGGCTCACGCCTTTAATCCCAGCACTCGGGAGGCAGAGGCAGGTGGATCTCTGTGAGTTCGAGGCCAGCCTGGACTACCAAGTGAGTTCCAGGAAAGGCGCAAAGCTACACAGAGAAACTCTGTCTTGAAAAACCAAAAAAAAAAAAAAAAAATATTGCTGAGTATGTAACCATGCTGACTGTTAGTTACACATACATATATGTATATTATAATCATATGACTTGAAATACATACCAATTAACTAGACAGAAACTAAATAATACAATTATCAGTAGCTTAGACTTTTCTCTTTACAGCTAACTCTTTTTTTTTAAGATTTATTTATTTATTATGTACCAGATCTCATTACAGATGGTTGTGAGCCACCATGTGGATGCTGGGAATTGAACTCAGGACCTCTGGAAGAGCAGCCAGTGCTCTTAACCGCTGAGCCATCTCTCCAGACCTACAGTCAACTCTTAAAGTCTGCTTCTATTATTGAACTGTGTTACTCGAACACAGCCGAAAGGAAGGGGGTAATTAAATCTCTACAAATCTTATCATGTAAAAATATACAGGGATTAATTCTAACCACTCAGCACTTTCGTTATGGTAAATTCTTCTCTGTGTGTGGTTTTATGTGAACATTCTACAGGCTTAACAAGGCTCTTGTCACAATATGGAAGCCCAGAAAATTCCAAGCCACTGCTCACAAGACTATAGCTAGCCATACATCAGGTGTATCAGCTGTGTCAGACTGCCGCCTTGTGGCCAAATGGGAGCATTGCTTGCAACCTACCACCACCAGGACATGTGATTGCCATGTTTTGTTTTATGCAGCACCCTAAGTGCTTAGAAAAGTGTGTGGAAGGTTGTAGGCACTACTTAAATATTTTTCACACGAGTATCTTTTTTTATACATTCTTGACCTTTATCCTTGAGTATAAAAATATAGGTTTGGTTAAGACAGAAGATCTTCCAAGAAAGGCGCAAAGCTACACAGAGAAACCCTGTCTCGAAAAACCAAAAAAAAGACAGAAGATCTTCTCCCTTAAGAATAATATACTGCTTTTCAAGCTGGGCAGTGGAGGCGCATGCCTTTAATCCCAGCACTCAAGAGGCAGAAGCAGGCAAATCTCTGTGAATTCGAGGCCAGCCTGGGCTACAGAGTGAGTTCTAGGACAGCTAGGACTACACAGAGAAATCCTGAAAAAAAAAAAAAAAGAAAATAAAAAAAGAATATACTACTTTTAAGCCAGGATGGTGGCCCACGATTTTAATCACAGCACTAGGGAGGCAGAGGCAGGTGGATCTCTGAGTTCGAGGTCAGTCTGGTCTACAGAGTGAGTTCCAGGACAGCCAGGACTACTCAGAAAAACTCTGTGGTGCTGGGGGGTGGGGCAGGGTATACTACCCTTGGCCAGGAGTGGTAGTACACTCCTTTAATCCCAGCACTCAGGAGTCAGAGGCAGATCTCTCTGAGTTCCAGGCTAGCCTGGTCTACAGAACAGCTCTAAAACAGCCATAAAAACAAACAAAAAAAATACTACTTTTGCAAATTTTTTACCTAGGAACAGAAATAATATATATAGTGATTGATATACAGAACTGAGATGAATTACCCAAACTCTATATGAAAACAGAGAAGGGAAAACAGAGAAGGGTCTGTCACACAACCTAGCTGTTTCCACTGCTTTTGGTATCCAAAGCAGAGGAGAGTCTCTAGCTACATAAATTGGACGGAGGGCAGCACACTAGACAGACTAGTAACACACAAAAGCCATTTGGCCACAGACTGTTTCAACAGCAACACATCTTCGGGAACAACTACCACTCTGGCTTTTTTTTGTGGGTTTAGATGACAGAGTCTTGCTGCAGTTTCTAGAATCCAGCTGCCTCAGTCTCCCAGGGCTGGGATTATAGGTATACACCACACCTAGCCTGATAGGTTTGAGTTTGGGGATTTTTTGGTGGTGATGATGGTAGTTGGCTACTTGCTGTCACTGTGGATTGAACCTGAAGTCTGATGAATGTCTGGCAAACCCTCTATCACTAAGCTATATCACCAGCTCTCTTTTTTTCATTTGAGTCAAGGTTGCCCAGGCTGGACTTAAATTTACTCCGTTGTCCTGGCAGGACTCAAAATCACCATCCTCCTGCTACAGTTCTCCCCCAGTATCTGGCATGGCCTGTACCACCAGACCTAGCTTTGACAGTTTTGATAACATGAAAATGACTATCTCTGCATTCAGCCTATTCAGAGAGGGAAGAGAGTTGTCAGTGAAAAGCAGGGTTTCTGAAACATAGATCAAAAAAGCTAAGATTCTACTAGGGTCTGGTTTCTCTTACCCTGTTACCTGGCATGTTTATAACAAATCATCAGTCATTTTCCATTCATGTGAAATGCTTTTTACCAAATAACTGTCTGAAAACAAAAATACTTTGAAATAACCATTAACTTTTTCTTTCCTTCACTCTGGCAGGTTCAGAGAAGTGGGTCAATACTGACATGTTCCATCTTTACTGTGAGCTGAGATTTGGGTGGTGTATTTATTTGCCAGGACATGGAATAAAGTAGGAGTTGGGTAGCTTAGAACAGCCAAAATGTATGTCTCACAAGTCTAAGGATTTTCGATCCAAAATCCA